TGTGCTCTTCAGTCTGACGTCATCATTTTCTGCGTGTAAGCGTAAATATACGGAGATTCTCCGGAAAGACTCGTAATATTGACGAAGCTATATTTGGGTTAAATTTTGTAAACAATGTTGTGGAATGTATGAATGATAATATATTAATTCGTGGCGTTGCAGAGCTGCTAATCTCGATGATTGTATACACAATCACTAGTTACACATGTCTGAATCGCATATTTTACTCTTTTAACGATGAAAAAAATGGTTTTGCTGAGAGCTAACGTGGCTTTAAGTACTTGTTACAAGAGGAACACCAACACAAGATGATCCCGATTACTCTTAATATCGATGATATAAGATCGCTGAAGGAGTTGAATGTTAATGACCCAATTCATATAAAAGGATCGAATGAAGGGGAATGGGGAAATGATATAAACGAAATGCGCTGGCAAAAACTGAAAAAGGTATGACCCAATCATGGAAACTTGTTCATTCGGAATTTCAAGTTACTATTAAAATTATATATTGCAAACCATTAGAGAGTAAATTAAAAATTATCGTCACTTTATAAGCAATTTAGAAACATAACTATCTTACTTCTACAGTAGAGATGGCACACTACACGTATATATTAGCTAAAGAGACTTCAGCGAACAGGTTTTATAGTACTGCCAGACCTGTTCACTGTCGCAACGTCAAAATAAAAGCGACATATAAAGTTATGGAAGTCAGAACTAACTATATATAAAATGAAAATTCAGCTTAAAATGATTTAATTACATAAAGTATTTATAGAATATTGTGATTTAATTACATAAAGTATTTATAGAATATTGATCTTTAAAGGGATCCCATTTCTCTCAAACATCCTGACTGTATAAATAAACAAAGTTGATTTTAAAAAGTCGATGTGTTTGTGTACAATACAAACAATTTTGTTTTTTTTATCGCAAGGTTCGGAACTTTTTCTTTGCTCTTACTAACCCATTATACTCAGTACACTTCAATGAGCATTTGAAAACAGTTACTGTATTGATATATAGCAGTACAGTTTTTTCATTGATTCATATAGGAAAAAAAAACTCGACCGCTATATAGCGGTTGAGTTTTTATTCGCACCTTGTATATATCAATGTAGTTTTTTTTCTCACAGAGGCTCTAATGGGTCAGTGGTAACGAACATTTCCAGTAGCAAAAAAAAATGGAATCAATAAAACAAAAAAAAATAAATACAATGTAAAATATAAACAAAGATAATAAATGAAATGAAATTTACTCTCATTTAATCAAAAGGAACATCCGTTGAATGAATTATTTCCACTGAAAAAAAACAAAACCCTTTAATCTTGAATCAATTTTGGTAACAGTTTAAATCCGCCTCTAACATTGGATGTCTTTTGTATATCTTTTTTTTGCGGCAGCGAAAACAACTTGAAAAACTGCCTTATCATAAATAACTGTAATGTAGCTGACGATTTATTTATTTATTTATTTCTATTACAAAAAAAGAAAACATTATGCCATTGCGATAAAACAGTTATAGTATATGAAACTCGTTAGTTACGAGGATATAACACTGGCTGGGCGACATCTCGGGATGTTTCTGCAAAAAATTGTCTCGGCCTAACGGCCTCGCCATTTTTTAGCAGAAACATCCCTTGATGTCGCCCCAGCCAGTGTTATATCCTCGTAACTAACTCGTTTCATGTACTATAACTATTACATAGACAATGTGTATTTGTTTTGTTGATTTCTGGGATGTCAACAGGAGTATATGTGCACAAATCAGTTTGTTATTTCTGAGATGTTGATTTAATCTTTTTATAGCCGCACAAAACTATTTAACATTTTAACACAGTTTTCCTCACAAAGTGCCTCCAGGTTATGGTCAATGGAAGTATGCAATTGTAGATGTCAACAATAAAAGTAATTAACAACCTTGGTGAAAAACAAAATTTCTTCAATACCAAAATATAAATTCTTTATTTTCAGACACTTGAAGAAAAAGTATCACATGTAGCTAAAGGTATGTTGGATTCGAATATATGTTGAGAGATATTTCAGTAGATGTAAATAATATTTCAGTAGTACACGTTTAAGTATAGAAATTATGCCTACTCGTTACTCTATGGATTATTGTTTTTATTTGTCACCATCATTTAAAGTGCCTCATCAAATCCGATATTTTAGAAGAGATGCAAACTAATCAGGAATCACTAATTGTATCATGACTTACAATAACGCTGCATCAACTCATGTATATTTTCTTTAGAACGAGGTGACAATCGGCTTCGAACAGAGGGACAACAACTGCTGGTTACAGTACCATCTTCAGCTACAAATATGTCAAACATTCCGTTCTTTTCTACAGGTATTGTTGTTCTCCTTTTTGCACTGCACACTTTTGTATTTTATTCTCAATGACCTGCGACTTTTAGATCATTTTGCATTGTGTGTGAGAAGTTTGAGATGTAATTTGTAAGCTATCTTTCACATTCGCGATTTCTTTAAATTCTTGTATTGATTCCTAGTGAGTGTGTTAAGGTATGCCCTAGTATTCCGGAAGGTATTTTTTAAAACCAATTAACATTACAGCTTACTTAATAATAACATGTCCCTTTACAAGACGTATGCTTTTGTTTATTTCCAGAAGTTTTTTTATTTATTTATAGAGCAAAGATCGATTTCAGATGAAGTAGGTTCAGGAGAAATTTTACATTATCCTACAGAGGAATCTGCTTATCTATCTGTCGATGGTGTCACAACGTCTGTAAGCATTCCTGACAACAGACACAGCGACATGCCATTACCACATGAGAGTCAAGAAGCGATTAATCAACAAGACGACGTCGCACAGCAATTACAATCATTGAATTTAGATACCGTAGATGGACCACCACATATGAACAGATTCGAGATGATAGAAGATGTTGATTTAAGTATTGATACTTCACCAGCTGAAACCGAGAATCATAGGCCGGAAACTATTGGTGGAGATGAAAGTCTAAACATTTCTGTGAATACCGAAGTGAAAAAAGACAGTGCGTCATTCCTTTATGTTACACCTACTCAAGACGAGACGGATTTGAAAATACCTTTCGCTAATGAGGATACCCCTAGATTACCCGATCAACGTCGTTTGAACCTGATTTCAACAAAGAATTCTCCTGACTCCGGTTATACAACACCATTTGAATCCATCTCAAGGCCGATATGCCCCAACATTGAAAATCGGCCAGATTTAAGTATTAGTACTTCACCAGTTGAAACCGAGTATCATAGGCCGGAAACTATTGGTGGAGATGAAAGTCTAAACATTTCTGAAGTGAAAAAAGACAGTGGGTCATTCCTTGATGTTACACCTGCTCAAGACGAGACAGATTTGAAAATACCTTTCGCTAATGAAGATACCCCTAGATTACCCGATCAACGTCGTTTGAACCAGATTTCAACAAAGAATTCTCCTGACTCCGGTCATACAACACCATCTGAATCCATATCAAGGACTATATGCCTCAACATAGAAAATCGGCCAGAAATCCAAACCGATGATAAAAAGATAAAACCCCAAGATAACAGCTCAACTACCGGTAAGATTATGAAAGAATCTTACAACTTTTAGGCATTTTTTTACTTTTACTTTACGTTACATTTATTTTTTATATTTAATACATTATGGAAAAGTCAGATTGTTATACAGACTTTCTTATAAAAAAAAGCCCTATATTAATAATTGTACATAATAAAACTGTTAATGTTGACTCAAATAATACTCGGATATACATGTGACAGTAAATGTCGATATGAACGAACACATTAAAATTTCAGGTTCCGTTAAAGTTAAACCTCCTTTGGCGCAGGCTTCCTCATCATCAGCTGTTATTCGACCATCTGAAGCTTCATTACCAATGCTTGACCAGAAGAAACCAAGAAGTGCAGGGAGTATATTTGGAGCCTGTCTGTCTGTAGCAGTGGACTCATTTTTTAACAGCGACCTAGCATTTAAATGATAAATTTACATGATAGTTATAAAGCGAATTAGAAGAGTCATTTGTTACTAAAATTGCTATTTTTTAAAACTATCAAAACTTGTAAAGTCTTGATAATCATGACAAGGCACAGATGTTAGACGAGGGTCATTATCCCAAAACCTAAACTTTTAGGAATTATTCCCTATTTGAAACTATTGAAACTTTTTGAAAATATTTATTAAAATTGATCGTTCTCCTCTACCGTCGAGCTTTAACAGCGTATGTGGTGTTCTTTTTATTTGGGGACCATACACCACTGTCCATGGAATGGCGCTGTGTCGCATTAACACATTGCAGATGTTGATAAATTAATAATTTTAAATGAACCAGTGCTTAAAGTTACTTTCTAATACCGTCCAAAAAAGGCTTGGTGAAACCGAGCCTGCAACATTTTCATTTTCGCCGTTTTGAACGTTCTCTAGTGATTACTTTTTATATATTTTGCCTGTGTAGCTGAAGAAATGTGGGACCTTAGTGGTGACGTTCCGGAAACGTTGCTTTTAAGTTGAAAATTACCTTTCAATATATTTATATCAGTATATGTTGATTATACGCATTACATAGACAATTTGAGTGATTTTCATTACCGACAAAACATACTTTTCAGTCCTTTCACATTTTATTGAGATGTGTTGATGCTTTTATACAAAGCCTATACATAATATATTTCTGTACAGCATTTCTTTTTACTTTTATATTTCTATTGTTTGTTTGTAGACATATTATACTGTTTTATTACCTTGTTTTGCTATTTGTCATGTTTGTGCCATATTTATAATTGGAAAAGATTGTTAAAATTGACTGTTAAAACTGATGACATGTGACTTGTGCTGATAAAAAAATCTTTGATAGATACATGTAACATAAGGGTATTTGCCATACTTCATTAGATAAAGACAGCATTTGACCACCCTCACCTATGTAAATTACCAGTATTTTGACTTGTTTTATCAAAATTGCTAAATGATGTAACACCTTATCCAAACCAGGGCAATTGTAACTTGTCCATGTATTTTCTTCTTTGATTATATTATAATATAAAATCATCAGAAAATATAAATTATAGAATATCTGTTTATTATTGAAACAAATAAATATTCTTAACATAACTACACTAAAATCGCCATTTGTTTTCATCATAGTAGAGACTCAACGATATTTTGTTAACATACTGTACATATAATTAGGTTTATAATATAATTGTTGAATGAAATAAATGTAGCACATTTTATTATAAGTTTATGTTCTCTTTCCAGTATTATACATGCCACACTTAAATCTTAGAGTAACACATTTGATGAACGTGTGTTCTATCCAAGACCATTGAAAAATGTTTTTTAAAATACAAATTTACAAGTCCCTGAACTGGTTAATTGTATATCGTTCTGTACTATTTTTTGTTTAAAAAATCGAAAATCATTTGCATAATATTTGCATATCGCAAATATTGGCCGAACCCAAAGTACGATATTGAGAACACAGACTGACCAGTTTAATGAATTTTGTGACTTTTAATGACGATATGTTGTCATAGTTTACCCAGCTGTTTTGTGTTAAATATGTTTGCAAATTAATGAAATTTTCATGGTAAACGGGTTAAAATGGATTAACCTCGCATTTCATTAGCTCAAAGTCTTTCTACAATTCTTATAAGATGCGAAGGCGGTTTATATTACTTGTTCAGTATTAATATTATATGTTGTAGTAATGGTTTATGGGTTTCATTTGGTTGTGTTAAACGGGTAGAGAATCCAATAAGCATTTTGTTATTTTTCCTTTATTATACAATTATTGACTAGTGAGCCATTGAATATGATGTGATATTCACCGGCAGATGACATATTGACCGAGGCGATAGCCGATAATCAATAATTGTTTTATTATATGAATAGGCTAAGAAATAAAAAGAAATCACAAAAGTACAACCTTATATACGTGTACAAATTTTGCCTCGTTGAAGCGCGGGAAAAAAGACGCACGTGTTAGGCGTGCAACGACTTCGCGAACGCTGCGCATTCAAAAGTAATTCAAGTTTATACTCATCATTGCGGTGTAGCCTTTAAGTAAAATGGTAATGTATTGATATTTTAATCGAGAAATATGCCATAAAGAACAAAAAGCAACAATTATTTTTAAGTAACACGCGTATTTAACAGTCTACAGTGTATGATCATTGAATATGAGTCTCAATCTATTTTTAGACTGGGAAAATCCAATTCAGCCAGTGAATATGATACTACACCCAGTAAATATGATTTTATAAAAAGTTCTGTTGACTAATGTTTGGACCAATGAGATTGCAGCTATATTTAGATCATATAATAAATCTTGTTATTAACTTTTAGCATGAATTGATAAAAAATTATAGCAAATCACCAAATATTTAACATTTATTAGGTTATATAAATTTAAAATAGAACAAGCGACAGGCAATGTCATGTGTTTTGTTTTGAATACGAATGTGGCAGAGACTTTGATATAAATTTTAAACTACTCAGTCTTGATTGTTAATTTTTGTATTAAAAACAATGTAGACGAAATAAATATTTATTTAAACCAATTTTATTTAAACTTTATTTTCCAGTCTGCCATACAAATATGATTGTCTTGAATTATGGCAGGTCCAAATATTTTATATATTTTGTTTTGTTTTTGAAGCTGTTTATTATATTAAGTTGATAAGTTATAACTGTTTCATGCCATGATTTAGCAAAGTTTAACATAATTTATGGATGTGAGGTATGTGGTGTATATAATAACAAGATTCCGTATAAGAATCTTTATCTTCGAACTGCAGTTATATTTGAGGAGTTAAAAACAAACACCAGGTTATGCTATTTATGTTGAGTTTGACCGGTTGACCGGTTTCCTTTGTCGGTTATTATTAAAGAACGATCCGTTAAATTTGACTTAAAATGAAATAAAAAAAAAACAATGATTTAAGTACATGTAATAATATTATTTATCATATGTTTAAAGGTCAATATGACAAATTGCCTGTGCATGTTCGGCTAAAAGAATGAATTCTTAATTTGATCATTTAGGATTTACTGATATAAAATATGAATTATTTTAATAAATTTATATATAAATAGGAAAAGAGACCAGTTTATCAAACGCTGTCAAAATTGGAAAGCTATTGTAAATATAAGACCGATTTCCAATAGACACTATAATATAGGGATGACTCTACATATGTACAACTTAGCTATCATGTTCTTGAGGTAAAACAGGTAGATATTATATTCTGGAAGCTTTGAAACATATTAAATATATATTTCATTGAATATCATTTGGTTTAAAGTTATCCAATGTACAGAGCTATGAGATCAAAATATTATGATCAAAGGTCATGACCAGCAGTACAAAATATTTGTCTTCAAAGAATAGAAAAAAACATATTAAATCTTATAAAATTCTTTATTTTAGTAGCGTCTTTTGGATGTGATCAGCCCGTTTTGCTGTTCATCGTGTATGGTAAACGTATTCAAAATGTGCTTTATTACTGTCCCCTAAACTTACTGGCACTTGCTTGTTGAATTCCTTAACGAAAGGGTATATTAGAGTCAGCTTGTCTGTCGGTCCGTCGGACGGTCCACGTCGTGGTTTCCGGACAATAACAAGAGTTTGGAATGAGGTATTGTAATCAAACTTGTTGTAAAGCTACCTTATGAAGGGACCCCAATTGGTATTGCATTTGGACCCCCTTGTGTCTAGACCAAGGTAACTTTTATTACAAATAGAAAAATGGTTTCCGGACAATAACTAGAGTTAGGAATATGATATTGTAATCAAACTTGGTTTATAGCAAGCTTATATGAAGATCCCAGTTGATATTGCATTTGGATCCAATGGGGTCAAAGTCACAGTTGCTAAAAAATAAAAATGGCTTTCGGACAATAACTTCATTTTTCTATCAAATTTTGTGTATAGCAAGCTCATATGAAGACACCTGTTTGTATTGAATTTCGACCCACTGGGGTCAAGGTCAAGGTCTTTATTACTAAAAATAGAAAAAATGGTTTCCGGACAATAACTTGAGTTAGGAATGAGATATTTCAATCAAACTTGGTGTATAGCAAGCTTATATGAAGACCCGACTGGTACTTCATTTGGACCCCCTGGGATGAAGGTCAAGGTCACGGTTACTAAAAATAGAAAAATGGTTTCCGGACAATAATTAGAGTAAGGAATGAGATTTTGTAATCAAACTTGGTGTAAAGCAAGCTTATATGAAGAATCAGGTTGAGAATGCAATTAATTGACAGTCGATACATCATTAACTATAGGTTGAGTTCAAAATGTTCTTCAGACCATTTATTTTTTCAAAAAGTCAAAGTTGGTGGTTGGAATATTAATCACCTTTAGTAATAGGTTTATTTTTATTTGTTTTGTTTTTGAAGAGGATTAGATTACAATTCAACAGTGTAAATACCACAGAAAACTGTACATTTTAGGACTGTTTTAACGTCTTTTTCGTTTTTTACCCTTGCATACAAGCCTAATATTCACTTGCATAGTTGTGAACAGAATGACCTGCTTTAAGTGTCGTGTCTGATTAATTTTTCTTCTTCAAACAACTTCTAGCGGTAACCCAATTCCCAAGTACGATATAATCTCCTACTTAGAGCATCGAAACACGAGGCTATCTGATTTGAACGAGGGAGCGTAGCCACCGAGTATAAATCAGATTGCTGAGTGTTTTGATGTTCTTTCTCTTTTGTATCATAGACAAACATAAAAAACACGTTCCCAAATACCACAATATGAAACCCCACAAAAAATTAACCGATGAACGAGCATCTGAACATGTTATTTCCATCGATATCCCTTTCTCTGTCTTTCTCGTGTATCGATGTTCTTTCTATTACTTAGCATATGTTATGTTTTATTATATGAACAACTTGTATATGTCGAAAATCGAAAAGAGGAAGTACATGTTTATCGCTTTGATTCAGTTATATAAGGTCGAAAATGATTCGTCACTTTATCTTATCTTTCGGTAACAAAGACCAATCTCTCATTACGTAACGTTCACCTTATTCTACTAATCGAAACGAAAACGAAAGTAGTATTGCTAAACAGTGCAAATATCAAACTGTCGTTGTTGTAACACTGACTTCCAATATTACTTTCAATATGACGAAGGAAAGCTATAATTGTTATTTAATATATAATATAAATGAAGGTGACGGGACTAATGATAGTTCACTCGCTACCAGTTTTGTTTACTATTTAGACAAGAAAATATGTGGGTGGGGTTTTAAATGCTACATTGAAGAGAGGGATTGTTTAGGAGGATCAAACGTGTTTGATGAACTGTTTAAGAAAGTGTCAGAGACAGAGACATATTTAGTTATTATAACGTCAGAGTTGAGCGAAAATTATTGGGCTAAATTTTGCAAACAAACTGTGTTTATGAACTTGTTACACGAGAAAAAACAACACAAGATGATTCCAATCACTCTTAATATCAGTGATACATGATCACTGAAGGAATTGAATGTCAATGCCGCTATTCATATAAAAGGATCAAAACAGAGGAATGAGCTGGCAAAGACTGAAAAGGGTATGAGATATCGATCGAGGATCGTGAATTTCAAGTTTTATTACTATTTAGATAAGATTTGGTTATAAATCTTTAGAGACTGATAGGTAGACTTACATAAATTATAAAGGTTTCTTAACACTTAAGAAACACATTTATCTTGCTACCACGGTAGAGATGACATACTATATGTATCAAATGACAATACAATAAATGCTTAAAAATAAAATGATTTAATAACATAAAGTATTCATAGAATATTGAATTTTTAATGGAATCCCACTTCTTTCGAAAATTCTTTGCATATCAATAAACGAAAACTTGTTATCTAGCAAGTGAAGATAGTTGATTTTCAATATTCAATGTGTTTGTATACAATATTGAATTTTGTTACAATAAACAATGTGTATTCGTTTAGTTGTTTTCTGAGATATCAACGATAACTACAATATGTAGAAAATCAGTTTGTTGTTTCTGAGATGACGATTTTATCTTTTAAACTAAGCACATAATTATTTAACATAGTTTTCCTAACAAAGGGCCTCCAAAGTATGGCCTGTGGTAGTATGCATCGTTGATGTCTGTGTGTCAATAACAAAAGTACATTTGTTATTAGTATCCTTAGTGAAAAAAAGAATTTTTTTTCAAATCCAACAAAATAAATTTCTTTATTTTCAGACACTTGAAGAAAAAGAACCACATGTAAATAAAGGTTTGTTGGATTCGAATATGAGTTGAAAGATATTTCAGTAGAATCAAGTTTTAGATGAAAATGATGTAGTACACGTGTAAGTATAGAAATCATACCTACTCGTTTATCTATGGATTATTGTTTTTTTGTCACCATCAATTTAAGTGCCTCGTCAAATCCGATATTTTAGAAGAGATGCAAAATAAACAGGAATCTCAAACTTAACGATGAGTTTAATTTATATATCTATATCTACTCATGTAGTGTATTTCATTTTAAAAAGAGGTGACGAAGAGAGAGACAACAATACAATCATGTCAAATATTCCGTTTTCTTCAGGTTTAACTCTTCTCCTATACCGCCTCCGTGGTCGAGGGGTTAGAGTCGATGACTTCTAATCCAGTTACCTCTCTGGTTTGGGTTCGATTCCCGGGAGATGCTTTGGTAGTTTAGCGCGGAGGAAGGTAGTCTAGAACTGGTGTAACTCTCCAGGAACGATGGTTAGGAAACTACCCGCCTATATGACTGAAATACTGTTTTGAAAAGGCGTAAAATGAAACAAACAAACAAGAAAAAAAAACCTCTTCTCCTTTTTACCTCACCCATTTTCTTTGTATA